ACTGGACTCCTATGGATTCAATTATTATCTCTATGCTGATGATTCTAAGATCTTCTAGACCTAATCTCTCTCTCAACCTCCAGACTCGCATCTCCAAATGCCTATTGGACATCTTGAATGGATAAGCCATTGACTTCTTAAACTTAACATGTCCAAAACTGAACTATCTTCCCTCCAAAACCCTCCCACACTTCCTATCTTTCCTATTACTGTGGAAGGCACAATCATCCTGCTACAATTACCCAGGCTCACAACTGACACATCATCCTTGACCACTCATTCTCTTGAACCCTTGACATCCAATTTATTGTCAGTATTATCAACTCTCTCTTCAAAACATCTCTTATAACCCTTTCTCTACTCTGACACTGCAATCATTCTGTTGCAGGTCCTTGTCACCTCATGAATGGACTACTGCAATAGCCTGTCTTTCCCCAATCCAATCCATCTTCCATTCAGTTGTCACGCTGATCTTCCTAAAATTCAGGTCTGACCATGTCACTGCTTTATTCGATAAACTCCAGTGGCTCCCTAACCTCCAGGATCAAATATAAAAATCTTCTGTTTGGCATTCAAAGATCTCTATAAACTGACTCCCTCCTATCTCTCCAGTCTACTTATAACTTATATTCCCCAAAGTACTCTGAGACTCAGTGACACACACCTCCCTGATGCTCCTAACACAAGATCAAACAAAACAACTCTATCTCCTCACTTTGATTATTTTAACTAGCTGTCCCCCTATGTCTGAAATTCTCTCCTTAATATCCACCTTCTGGCCTCTCTGGCTTCCTTCAATACCCAGCTAAAATCCCACTTTCGGTATCCCTTTTAATGCTAGTGTCTTCCTTCTGCTATTATCTCAAATAATTCCGCATATATCTTGCTTGTACATAGTGTTTGCATGTTGTCTCCTCCATTAGACTGTGAGAGGGGGAACTAGTTTTATGAGAAGGGGATTGTTTTGTTTTGTTTACCTTTCTTTTTGTAACCAGCACTTAGCACAGTGCCTGACAAATAGAAGGCAATTAATAAATTCTTGTTGACTTGACTTAATTGCAATTACTAATCTTGGTCTCAAAGAAGAGATGATGAAAGAACCTTTCCCTATTTCATAACTTCCCTCTATTTGGCAGAAAAGGGAAAAAAGACAGTAGAGCAAGGACTCCAGAGCAGAATATTGTATAGACAATCACATGCAATCACTTTAATTTTTATAGCTATCATTTATACAGCACCTACTATGTGCCAGGCACTCTGCTAAGCACTTCACAAATATTATCTCATTTGATCCTCACAACAACTCTGGGAAGTAGGTACTATTATTATCACCAATTTAAAGTTGAAGAAGCTGAAGGAAACAGAGGTGACTGAGACCAAATTGGAATTCAGGTCTTTCTGACCCCAAACCCCTCATTCTATCTACTTCATTACCAGACAGTTCTTTGTGGGGTATAACATTAGGAAATGACTACTGCGTAAAAACAAAGGACAGGGAATTCCAGGGGGAATACAACCACAGTAGTGAAAAGGCCTAAAAGCCATATTATATGAGGATTTACTGAATTAACTAGGGATTTTTAGCCTGGAGAGGAAAGGCATGAAAGTTATCTTCCTCAAAACTCTGAAAGGCTATCTTGTGGAAGAGGGATGAGACTTGTTCTACTTAGCCCCTAAGGGCAGAACAAATGTGTGGTAATGGGCATTCTTGCTTTGAATCTGTGAATAAAAAGCAAGATGCTTAATATGATCACTTTTAACACGACTAGAAATTCTAGCAACTCCAATAGGACATGGAAAAGATATTAGATTGATAAAAATGGGAAATGCAACTATCATTTGCAGATGACTCCTACTTCAGTTACAAAATTAGTGGATATAATAAATGAATTCAGCAAAGTTTCAGGATAAGCTGGAAAAGTGTAATAGTAGTAGTAACAGTAAATAAAAATTTATTAAGTGCCTACTATGTACCAGGCATTGTGCTAAAACACTGGGGACACAAATACAAAAAAAAAAAGAAAAAAAGAAAGACAATTACATTCCTCAAGGAGCTTATGATCTAATGGAGGAAGACAACATACAAAAGGAAGCTGAAAAATGAGGAGGGAGGGAAGGAGGGGTGCAAATGAATATATGCAGAGACTAATAACCAGGGTGATAAAGGGCATTGTGTCCATGCCATATAAGAGTCAGTTGAAAGAACTGAGGATGTTGAGCCTAAAGAAAAAAGACTGAAAGGGGAAATGATAGATGTCTTCAAGTATTCACAAGGCTGTCATGTGGAAGAAGGACTAAATTTGTTCCATTAGACCACAGATTGACAAACCAGGAGCAATACTAAGTGGAAGAGTGCAAAGAGGCAAATTTTAGGCTTGATGTAAGGAAAAATGCCCTAATAATTACAGTTATCCAACAATGAAACCAGTTACCTTAGGATATAGTGGGTTGCTACTCACCAGAAGTCTTTAAGCAGATGCTAGATGACAACTTATCAGACACACTATACTATTTTTTTCTTAAGTTAGACTAGATAAGCGCTGTGATCCCTTCCAATTCTGAAATTCCATGAGCTTTCCAAACGGAGACTAGGTGACTATTTTTCAACAACATTATGAAAGGGCTTCTTGGTCAGTACTAAATGGCCTCTGTTATCCTTCCAACTCAGATTATGTGACTTTCTTCTTTACGAATATTACTCAAGCAAAGAAAGGCAAAATCTTTCATAACCTAGGTCTCATTACTCAACATGAGAGGAACTCTCCACGGAGCCAACTGACTCCAAAGGAATTCTGCTGTCTTTCATCCCTGCCAGAATCCCCTTAGTGGCTCCCAGTCAGTCATGTAGAATTGGAATCAAATGCTAATCTTTTTTTAAGAACAGACCTGACTGCTGCAGTTATTCAGTTTGATTTCTCAGAAGCAAGGAAAATTTGAAAATTGTGCTAAACCTAGAGAGACATAGGTATATGTGGACCATAACAAATATCTGGGCCAACAGTTCTTCAACAGGTAATGAATATACTTCAAACTTTTCAACTAAGGTATCTCTTGAAGATGTTAGATACACCAACAGACATGGTTGGTGTGTTGGTTTTGCTTTTGCATAGCTTTTTCTTTACTACAAAGGAAAAATTCTCTAGGGGGTTATAGCAGAGAGACCTGTATAAAAATCCTAAAGTACCCCAAAAAATCACTTAAAATTTAAAATAATACATCTCTTTCCTTTTACTCCCCCTGCTACCTACTCTAATCTATGATTCCATTATCTCTCATCTGTACTACTCCATTAGCCTTCTGGTCTACCAACTTTAACCTTTTCATTTCCCAATCACCCTATACATCATACCAATTCATTTTCTTTATGCATAAGACTTAATCATAACAGTTCTCTGCTCAAAACTTTTCAATGGCAACAGGTAACCATCTATTACCTAGTGAATAAAGTTCAAACTTATTTGACACCAACCTACGTTTCCAGCTTGATACCATACACTCTACATTCTAGCCAAACTAGACCACTCACTGTCAGCAAACATTCTTGTGCTTTCCTGAAGCTGTACCTTTGCTAATCCTTTTTCTAGAATTTTTTCTCCCCATCTTCATCTGAGGAAATCCTATCTCTTCCTTTTCAAAAAAAATTTTGTTTTTAATTTACAGAATAAAACAAGCATTTCCATAACACAGTACAATAAAAAAAAAGGTGATTGCACATGAAACCACAAATCTACTATGCACAACTTGCTATTCCTTTCAAATATTCAATTAAATTATCATGTAAATTTCTCCCCCTATCCACCAAAGAGACGGCTACCATTAGACCCAAATAGGTATATACATGTAAAATCATTCTATAAAAACTTCTATTTATTAGTTATTTCTCTGGATGCAGAAAGCATCTTTCTTCATATGTTCTTTATGGTTAATTTGGGAATTTATAATAATCAAAATAACTTATTCACCCAAAGTCATTCTTAAAACAATACTGCTGTTACTGTGTACAATGTTCTGCTCATTTACCTCTTCATTATTTCATTATTTCATTCAAGTCCTTCCATGTTTTTCTAAAATCATTGAGCTCATCATTTCTTATAGCACAGTAGTATTCCCTCACAATCATATACCACAATTTGTTGTCATTTACCAACTGATAGGCATCCCTGCAATTTATAGTTCTTTGCCACCACAAAGAGAGATGCTATAAATATTTTAGAATATAAAGGTTCTTTTCCTTTTTTCCTAAATATCTTCTGAAACAGACCAAGTAGTGGTATTGTTGAGTCAAACGGTATATGTAGGTAGTTTAATAACACTTTGAGCATAATTCCAGATTGTTCTCCAAAATGGTTGGATCATTTCACAATTCCACCAACAATGAACCAGTGTCCTTGCTATCCGTTCCATATGGCTACCCTAAATAGAAATAATCTTTCCTTTGTTGGTCCTCACAGAGAACTTTGTACTCACCTCTCTTACACATACCAAGTTTATTTTTCATTATTGTTATTTGTCAATGGGTCAGATCCTCCCTTCTAAGATCAACAGAAGCTCCATGAGAGCAGGGACCATGTTTTTACTCATCTTTCTATCTCCAACACTTAGCACAGAGCTTTAAAAAGAGATGGGCACTAAATAAATGTTTGTTGAAACTACTGAATGAAAGAATTATAGCTATCATTAATTCTCCCTTGAAAGGTAAATGCAATGGTCAAAAAGAAAAGAAGAATTGTAGGACTTACTATTAATAGCAATTGTACAGCCCAGTTCATTCAAGTCTAAACTGACAGAGGACTGTGTTACTAATAAAGTTTATGAATAGGCTACACAGATTACAGCTGACTTTACTATAGTTATCAGTAAGGTCTGACAAGCACCTTCAGTCTCACTTCCTATGATTTTGATGCTAGAGGATTCTTTGAACACATATTTCTTTTACACAAGAGAAAAAAAAAACAGATGATAAAATCCCAAAAGGAACAACTCAGCTACTGACTACTTACCACCACTTTGTTGTAGTCCTGGATTGCAAAATACAGTGCAATGGCGGTAAGTGCATCAGTTATCTATAGAAAGAAAGAAAAAGATTACAAAATGGGACCAAGTCAGAAGGGTAGTAAGAAAAGTCTAAGGCTAGAGGGATACATCCCTCTCACATGGTCATGTTGCTGCCTCAAGCAAAAAATTCATAAAACCATGTTCTCCCTCTCACCTGACTGAGCTCCAAAAATCAATTCACAGAAGCCAGTAGATAATTCCTTTTCAACTAATACTAAGCAAATAAAGAAGGTTCTGGATCCAGCTCAATCCTGCCTCTGAGCCATTTCAAATTCATAAGAGAGATTTGCAATTCCAGGGTCTCCGCAAGGCTTTTTTCAAGTAAGTCTCTTAGCATAGAGCACCGGCCCTGAAGTCAGGAAGACCTGAGTTCAAATCCGGCCTCAGACCAAACACTTGACACTTACTAGCTGTGTGACCCTGGGCAAGTCACTTAACCCCAATTGCCTAAAAATAAAAAAAATTTTTAAAAATCATAAAAGTCTCTTAGGGGTATCTAAACCAAAATGAACCTCATAAGTACCCACTGGCCCAGATGCCCATCACCAGAATGAGCAAGTAAATCAAGTGAACAAAGTCCCCTTACCACACGTGCTTATCAAAAAACATTAAGGTCAACAACAGTTGTTTTGTTTTTGTTTTTGTTTTTAATATAAACACCTTAAGGATAGGGATCATTTTTATTTTTGTCTTTATATTCCTAACCTAATTATCATATTATCTTACACAGTCAGCACTTTACAAGTATTTGTTGAACCAAACTGTTTTCTAGACATAAACTGTTTTCTAGACATCTAACTAGTCTTTCAAACCCTTTTTTTCTGTGACTAGCAGAATTACATAGAATATGTATATGGAACACAGAATAAACCCAAAACTGGTTTCACAATTCAAGACAATCATGGATTCCTAAAGTAAGGTGATATAGGTCAGGGTGCTATTTCCAATTAGACTATGCTCTAGTTCTAGATACATTAATAAATGCACAGTTAGCAGAAGAAGGCAGGTCAGATTTTCATGGCATGTTGATCTAGTCAGACCACAACTGGACAACCTGCATTTGGTTTTAGATACCACATTTTAGAGGGGAACATTAAAAAAGTGGAATATGTCCAAGAGGGTAACTAGGGCAGTGAAAGGATTCAAACCATGTCATACATGAATCGATCAATGAACTGGGGATGTTTAAGTCTAGAAAGAGAAAATTTAGTATGGAATATGATTAATGTCTTCAAATAACTAAACAGTTATAACCTGGAAGAAGGATTAGCTTTATTCTGTTTGGCTCCAGAAGTCAAAATGAGGAACAATGCATTAGAAATTACAAGGAAGCAAATATCAGTTTGATATAAGAAAGAACTTACTTAACAACCTGAGCTCTTCAATACTGGAATGAAGCTGTTTCACTACATATTAAGTACCCTGTTACTGGAGGTGCTCAAGCAGAGACTGGAATGGCTACTTGTTGCAGATATTTTTCCATGGGGTACTCAGATTTAATTACACTAAAAGTTTTACCAATAAAATCAATTAGCAATTAAAATCTTACTTGGATTACATACTAAAAAGGAAAAGTACTGAATAAAAACTTGCTACTCTGCATAAACAAAGTAGGTTGAGGTAGGTACCAGAACCTGTAATACACGAAGTCAAAATAAGTGTAGTTGCAAATAGTTCAACTGAGAAGAATTGTCAAAAAGTTAACTTAATGAAAATCACATAAAGGTACAACAAGAATCAGTGTGCGTGCGGGAAAAAGACAGAACTAAAGTTAAAACTTGCTAGAGCTTTCATTAAACAGGGAGTGGATGAAACCTCCAAAAGGTCTAAAAATCCAGCAATGAAACTCAGTGCAGCATACTTAGTTCCAACAATTTTAAAGATGAATCTAGTCAGAGCAAATCACTAGCAATAAATGTTACAGAAACACCAGAAAAGATTCTCTCTCCAATTTGTGAAGAACAAATGCTAATAAAATCCACAATTTAGATCACAAAAAATATTAGTAACAGTACTGATAAGGTCACTGTTAACAGTGCTGCTATCAAGATCCTAATAGTAATATCATGATACAAATAATATTTCAAGGCATTACAGAGTAAAGGAGAAAGCACTGGACTTCATAGTATCCTAGACCGGACCTGGAAGGGACTACAAAGACCATCTATCTAGTCCAGAGGATCTGAACCTTTTTTTTTTTAATGCTGTGGACCCTTTTGGCAATCTGGAAAGCTTATGGGAGGACCCCTTCTCAGAAAAAATGTTGGTTTTTTTAAAAATCTGGAAAGTTTATGGACCCCTTCTCAGAAAAATGTTGGCTTTTTAAATATATATATACATATATTCAGTATTTTCTTTTCCCCCCAATTACACATAAAAACAATTTTTAAGATTCTTTTTTTGAACTTAAGTTCAAAATTCTCTCCCTCCAAGCCTTCATTAAGAAGGCAAGCACTTTGACATAGGTTACACATGTGCAGTCATGCAAAACATTTCCATATTGGTCACATTACAAAAGAAAACAGACAATAAACCAAGAAAAATAAAGTGGTTTTTTTTTAAAGTATGCCTCAATGTGCATTCAGATCCATCAGTTCTTTCTATGATAGCATTTTTTTCATCATAAATCTTTCAGAATTGTCTTAGATTGGGGCAGCTAAGTGGCGCAGTGGATAGAGCACCAGCCCTGAAGACAGGAGGACCTCAGTTCAAATCCGGCCTCAGACCAAAGACTTGACACTTACTAGCTGTGTGACCCTGGGCAAGTCACTTAACCCAACTGCCTAACCAAAAAAAAAAAAAACAACCCAGAATTGTCTTAGATCACTGCACTGCATTGCAATCACAGTTGGCCATTGTACAATACTGCTGTTACTATGTACAATGTTCTCTTGGTTCTGCTCATTTCACTTTGCATCAGCTCATATAAGTCTTTTCAGGTTAGAGCAGTCTGCTTGTCATTTCTTATAGCCTAATAGTATTCCATTACAATCATATACCACAACTTGTTCAGCCTTCCCAACTAACAAGCATCCTCTCAATTTCTATTACTTTGCCACCACAAAAAGAGCTGAGATAAATATATTTGTACATATATGTGCTTTTCCTTTTTCTTTGATCTCTTTGGGGTACAGAACTAGTAGTAGTATTGCTGGATCAAAAGGTATGCACAGTTTTATCATCCTTTGGGCATGATTCCAAATTGTTCTCCAGAATGACTGAATCAATTCACAACTCCATCAACAGTGTGCATTAGTGTTCTAATTTTCCCACATTCCTGCCAACATTTATCATTTTCCTTTTCCGTCCTATTAGCCAATTTGATATGTGTGGGGTGGTACCTCATAGTTTTTTTAATTTGCATTTCTCTTATCAATAGTGATTTAGAGCATTTTTTCACATGACTATAGTTTTGATTACTTCCTCTGAAAACTGCCTGTTCATATCCTTTGACCATTTATCAGTTGGGGAATGACTCTTATTTTTATAAATTTGACTCTCTATATGATTGAGAAATTAGGCTTTATCAAAGAAATTAGCCATAAACATTTTTTCACAGTTATGATTACTGTGCATTTTCCTCTATCCTGTTTTTCCCTGTTTATCTTACTCTCTCCTTTCACCTTGTCCACCCTCAACTGTTTTGCTTCTGACTGCTACCTCCCCCAATCTTCCCTCCCTTTCTATTAGCCCCCTCCCTTTCTCTTATGCCCTTCCCCTCCTACTCTCCTGTAGAGTAAGACAGATTTCTATATCCAACTAAATTATTCCCTCTTTGAGCCAATTCCAAAGTAAGGTTCAAATGCTCCCCCTTACTTCCCCCAACTTCCCTTGCAATGTAAAAGCTTTCTTGTGCCCCTTTTATGTGAGATAATTTATCCTATTCTACTTCTCCCTTTCCCCTTCTGCCAGGCATTCTTTTCCCTTAATTTTTTTTTTTTTAGATATCATCTCATTATATTCAATTCATACCCAAGCCCTCTGTCTATGTATATTCCTTCTAACTGCAGTAATAACGAGAAAGTTCTTAGGAGTTACAAGTATCACCTTGCCCTGTAGGAATGTAAACAGTTTAACCTTATTGAATCCCTTATGGTTTCTCTTTCCTGTTTACCTTTTTATGCTTCTCTTGAATCTTCTGTTTAACTGCCAGATTTTCTATTCAGCTCTGGTCTTTTCATCAGGAATGCCTGAAAATCTTCTCCCTCACTGAATGTCCATTTTCCCCCTGAAGGATTATACTCAGGTTTGCTGGGTTGGTGATTCTTCACTGTAATCCTAGCTCCTTTGCCTTCCAGAATATCATGTTTCAAGTTTTCTGATCCTTTAATGTAGAAGCAGCTAAATCCCGTTTTATCCTGACTGTGGCTCCATGATATTTGAACTGTTTCTGTCTGCTTGCATCATTTTCTCCTTGACCTGGGAGCTCTGGAATTGGGCTATAATATTCCTGGGGTTTTCATTTTTGGATTTCCTTCAGGAGGTGATTGGTGGATTCTTTCAATTTCTATTTTACCCTCTGGTTCTTGAATATCAGGGCAATTTTCCTTGATAATTTCTTGAAGATGATCTCTAGGCTCTTTTTTTGATCATGGCTTTCAGGTAATCCAATAATTCTTAAATTTTCTCTCCTCCATCTGTTTTCCAAGTCAGTTGTTTTTCCAATAAGGCATTTTACATTTCCTTCTATATATATTTTCATTCTTTTGATTTTGTTTTATTGTATTGTGATATCTCATGGAATAATTAGTTTCCACTTGTCCAATTCTAATTTTTAAGGAATTACTTTTTTTTTAACTTGAGAAACATATTTTACATTTCTTTATTTTTGAAACTTGTCCAATTATAAATAAATAATCTTTGATATACACTTTTTTCAGACAGATAAGAGCAACAACCAAGAATACACTGAAAATGAGTTTACATTAAACAACCAATTACAATATGCAACCGGTCATTCAGTTACAATTTCAGTATGATCCAATATGTACACTATTTAAAAGTGGACCACTTTATATAAAACATAGATGTATACAATTTTCTTATAGGCCCAAGAGAATGAACACACATCAGAGCTCAAAAAAAAAAAGTTGCATTACAGGGTCTCTAAGAGTTGAAACACAAAAATGTTTATAAGCTTGTGAATTTTGGTAGCAAATACAAAAAAGTATGCCAAGCTACCCTATTCTTGTTGGCAAGTGCTGGAAAAATTGACAAGCTCCACAGGATTTTATACATATTATCAAGTCAAAATTTTTAAAAGATTATTACTAAAAAAAATTTTTTTTAAAATAAAAAAATAAAAAGATTATTACTTAGAGAGTTGACATCATGTAATGCCATGGATTCAATTTTGCACTGCATTTAGCTTACATCTCAGCAAACTATTTTACTAATAGAAGAATGCTTCGTTGGCAGGCACATCTTATCTTCTGTAAACTGTGGAGATCATTGCATCAACAAACTTGTAAGAAATCTTCAGATATCTCATTTTCCCAATCAATAAGGAATTACTTTCTTTAGTGAGCTTTTGTACTTCCTTTTCAATTTAGCTAATTCTACATTTTAAGGAGTTCTTCAATTCAGTGAATTTTTGCAAATCTTTTTCCATTTGGCCAATTCTGTTTTTAAAGATGTTATTTTCTTCAGTATCTTTTTTTTATACCTCCTTTACAAAGCTGTTGAATCTTTTTTTCATGATTTTCTTGCATTACCCTCATTTCTCTTCCCAATTTTCCCCTCTACCTCTATTACTTCATTTGTAAAATCCTTTTTGAGCTCTTTCATGGCTTCAGACCAATTCATATTTTTCTCAGAGGCTTTGGAAGTAGCAGTTTTGACTTTGTCTTCTGAATTTGTGTTTTGATCTTCCCTGTTACCACAGTAACTTTCTATGGGTCAGATTCTTTTTTCATTGCATGCTCATCTGCCTATTTCTTGACTTTTAACTTTATATGTTAAAGTTGGGCTCTGCTTCCAAGGTGGAAGTGGCACTGTCCCAAGATTCATGATTTTTGTGTAGCTGTTTTCAGAGCTAGTTTCAGAGGAGTGGGGTAATCTGTAAGTTTTCAGTTCTTCTGTGGATTTTTTGTTCAGCTGTTTTCAGAGCTAGTTCTGGGGGTCTGTAAGCTTTCAGTTCTTCCAAGGTGGTATGATCTAAGGAGAGGTATGTTTATTTCTCTCCTGGCCTGTGCTATGATCTTTGAGTGTCCACAAACGTTCTTTTCAACCCTAGAATTGTGACCAGGATCCCCACTCCCCTGAAGCCACAAGCTCTGGTGTGCTGGTGCTTCTCCTTGCAACCCAAGACTGTGACCCAGATCCAAGTATGGGTAGTGCAATAGAGTCCTGCACTGCCAGCAAAGGGACCCCTGTAATCTCCTTTGAACAGGTTTTGACCACCTGTTCAACCCCTTATCATCTGTGGACTAAGAGCTACAGAAGCCTCAGCTGCCAAGTTGATTCAGTCACCCCCAAGGCCTGCTGCTGGTTTGCTGGAGCAGAGCCTGTGCTGCACTGCACTCTACTCTCATGCCATGCAACAGACCTTTCCTGCCAATCTTCTGAGTTGTCTTGGTCTGGAACCCACTTCTATGGGTTCTGCTGCTCCAGAATTTGTTTTGAGCATTATTTAAAGTTGTTTGGAGGGGAATCTAGGAGAGCTCAGGCTCTCTTCTGTCTTTTCTCCACCATCTTGGCTCCACCCCTCCCCAAGAATGTTTTTAAATGTAAAACATGAAATACATAGTTTTATAAAGGAAATCAACTGTATTGAAATACAGCTAACAATTTTTTTTTGTTCACGCCCCAGGTTAAGAACCCCTAATCACTTAATTCAACCTTTCATTTCATAGATGAAGAAATTATAGCCCAGAGAGGTTATGTGACTAGGCCAAAGTCACATAAGTAAGTAAAAAGAGGTCAACACGAAGGTCTTGAATCAAAAGGTCTAGGTTTAGGTCCTGGCTTTGCCACAAGTTCTTAACTAGATCATACTGTTTAATTTCTATAAGATCTATAGTTTCCTCATCTATAAATAATCATATCAACATTTGGCCTATCATTTCTGAGGATCAAAGGAGGTCAATATATATAATGAACTTTGTAATTGTAAAGCACAGCATGTCATACATATTAAACACATATTTAACTTCTGTTTAATATGTTAGCTTTTTGAAGATTAAGTGACAAACATGAGAAAATGACACCTTTTCTATAAAGAACTTTTCCTTATTCACCCACCTACAAATGCTCTCTCATCTAATATCACAGAATCTTCTATTCCTTTTATGAACTTGTCATATTCTAATTTGCATTATATCTATCTGTGTACATATCTTATCCCCTTCCTAAAAGACTAAAAATCCCACGATACTACAGACTGTCTTAATTCATCTATGCTCCATTCTGAAGAATAAGAAAGGAAGAAGAAACATAGAGAGAATTCATTTCCTCTAAAGCATTCTAGTGTCTATATAGCATTTTACTGCTTATAAAGCACTTCTGTGTACATTAATTATCTCATTTACTCTATGTACAACAACCCTGTGGTAGGTTTTATCCCATTTTACAGAGAGGCCCATTTATTGAGGGCCAGATAAGTAGCATTCTCAAGGCCACATCAATTAATAACTATCAGAGGAAGGGCTCTGAATACCAAGTGCCCCTTTTACCCCGCTATACTCCTTCCTATCTATTTAGCCAGAGATTTTGGAAAATACTCCTTGCTTCCATGACACTATAACAGTTCTAAGAATTAACATGTATCAGAATTTGAGGATACATATAAACTATTACAATCAAGACAAGTTCTGATAGACTCTACAACCATTATAACAACAGTTTTTCTTTAAAAATAGAGAGCTTATAAACAAGAGACAGACAGCATTGTGAAATATAAAATGGATAATTTTGATTACATTAAATTAAGAACTTGTTGTACAAATAAAATCAATGTAGCCAAGATTAGAAAGAAAACAGAAAATTGGGAAAAAAATTTTATAGACAGCTTCTCAGATAAAGGTTTCATATCTCAAATATATAGAGCCCTCTGTCAAATTTATAAGAAATCAGTCATTCCCCAAATGACAGTCAAAGGATATGAACAGGGTTTTTTTTTTGATGAAGAAATCAAAACCATATATGGTCATACAAAAAAAATTCTATAAATTATTATTGATTAGAGAAATGCAAATTAGAACAACTTTGAGATATTATCTCACACCTATGAAGTTGGCTAAAATGATAGAAGGTGAACATGACAAATGTTGGAGGGATGTGGAAAAATTAGGACATTAATACACTATTGATGGAATTGTGAACTAATCCAACCATTTTGGAGAGTAATCTGGAATTATGCCCAAAGAGTTATAAAACTGTGTATACCCTTTGACCCAGCAATACTACTATCAGATCTGTTTCTCAAGGTGATCAGGTAAAAAGGAAAAGAAGCTATATGGTCTAAAATATTTATAGTAGCTCTCTTTGTCATGGCAAAGAACTGGAAATTGAGGGGATGCCTATCAACTGGGGAATGGCTAAACAAGTTATGGATGTGATTGTGATAGAATACTACTGTGCTACAAGAAATGATGAGCTGGCTGGTTTTAGGAAAAAAATGAAAAGGCTTGTATGAAATAATGAAAAGTGAAATGAGCAGAACGAAGAGAATGTCGTACACAGCAACAGCAATGTTGTTCGAAGAACAGCTGTGAAAGAGCAAGTTATTCTCACTATTATAAATACTCAAATCAACTACAAAGGACATATAAAGAAAGATGCTATCCATTTCGAGAGAAAGAACTGATAAACAGAAGTATGCCTAGTATGGTTTTACATTTATTTATAAATTTGTGTCAAGTGGTGGCCTTCTCTAGTGTGAGGCAGGAAGGGAGGAAGACAGTTGGGAACTTAAAATGTAAAAAAAATAAATTAATTTAATTTTTTAAAAAGCACATTACTTACCATAAACACCAACTCCGCATAGTCAATCAGGAAATGGAAAAGATATATTATTAGCGGTGTCTGCAAGATAAAAACAAAAAAGTTTAAGCCAAAACTCATATTATCAAAAGAAACAACTAGAACAAAATATTCCAGAACAACACAAAAACTAGAAGTTATTAGAACTGTAATCTACATCAAGGGAAAAAGTATCCATACATATAAAATCACAGAACCATCTAAATATTAACAATAAAATCTTAATAGCTTATATCTGTACTATACTTTAGAGTTACAAAGTGTTTTATATCTATTATGTCCTCACAAACTTAATGTGGCTAGGGCAAGATTATCCTTATTTCACACAGAGAAGATCAGAAAGTTAAGAAACTTTGTCCAGAAATAAGTCTCTCACTGAAGTGTCCTAAGTCCAATTCTCTTTCTCCTACCCCATGTCCTACTCATTAGTGAGATCTAAGAGTACAAAACCATTTCTTTCTCAATTTACCCAGATGAATATCTGTACTGTGGGCCTAGAAATAGAGATCTGGAAAGATAAGGTAATAATACTGTCAAGAAAGAAACTTTGCAGAAGTCTTTCTATATTCCCAAATAACCTCTCTGGGCATATTTCCCATGGCCAAGGTCTGTTTCTTCAGTTTATACAGCAATCATTTCCATCACAATTGTGATACCACTGTTATATGATGAGGACTTCAAACTCAGAATTATTTCTGATTTTTCAAAGGATATTTTACGTTACCTATTAAACAGCCAGTGTTTTAAATTGATTAGACTTTATTTGAATAGCAATAAAATATTTTTTAACACATGGAAAAGAAAGGGAACATTAAATACTTACTTCATGAAAAACTGCTCCAGAATAGGGAGACACTCCCAAATCCAACAGAGAGAGTCCTTCGACCACTGTAATGACAAAACAAACCAACACACATATCTAAGCCATTTGGACACATCAATACAAATCAAAAAAGTTAAGTCCTAAGAAACTCCGCATAGTCAATCAGGAAATGGAAAAGATATATTATTAGCGGTGTCTGCAAGATAAAAACAAAAAAGTTTAAGCCAAAACTCATATTATCAAAAGAAACAACTAGAACAAAATATTCCAGAACAACACAAAAACTAGAAGTTATTAGAACTGTAATCTACATCAAGGGAAAAAGTATCCATACATATAAAATCACAGAACCATCTAAATATTAACAATAAAATCTTAATAGCTTATATCTGTACTATACTTTAGAGTTACAAAGTGTTTTATATCTATTATGTTTGAATTTTGATTTTTCAGGCACTCACCTGAAAGTAATGGTTGACTCTTTTATTTAACCACCTACCATGTTGTGAAATTCCAAATGCCCAGATAGGAATAGCCTGAGAGTGGGGGGACAGGGAAATGAATTTGTTGGGAACAAACTTCAAGAATCATTGTTTTCCCCATGATTCTGGGATAATAATAACATATGTATATAGCACTTTGGTTTATAAAATGTTTCATACCCATTAATTGATTTGATTCTCAAATCCCTGTGACCTAGCTACAGCAAAATGTGGCATGGTAGATAGGCAATGAATCACATGAGTTCAAATCCTAACTCTACTTGTATGACAATGACTGAATCAGTTAACCTCTCTCAGTCTCAGTCTCCCCATCCTTAAAAATACCTACATCACCGGATTGTCATAAGGCTGAAATGAGATAATGTCTAAAGGGAAAAGCAGTAGTAGATGGAACACTGAGCTTGGAGTCAGGAAGATTTGGCTGACTTCAGTTTCTGACACTTACTAGTGTGACCCTCTAGCCAAGTCACTTCACTCTTATCCTCAATGTCCTTATTTGTAAAATAGAGAAAATAGCAACACCTACCTCATAGGATTATTGTACAGATCAACTGAAACAATCTATGTAAAACGCTTTGCAAAAACCTTAAAGCACTATATAAATGCAAGCTATAATTACTATCCCCATTTTAAAGATAAGAAAAATGAATATGAAAGTAAAGGCACTTGCCCAAGGTCAACTCAATTCAACATTTATTACATGTCCACTGTGTGCAAAGTCACATAGCTAGTATGTAGCAGAACCAACTCAGTTCTTCTGACTCTAAGTCTATACAGTTTTCTTTCCACACGACACTAAAGAGCTTCTGAAGATAATTATTTTGAATCTGTTAATTATAAGACCATAAATCTAAGGCAGAAAGGAACCTCAGAAATCATATAGTGCAAAGTAAAAACCACGTGGAAAAACGAAGGCATATTCCCACCAACCCAGCCCAACACTTTCAGCCACAATAAATAAGCTGCTTTCATAAAACCAACAATTCTAATCAGGACCCTGAGCAGCAGCAGAATGTCAATGGTTGCCTAGGAACAACTACTGTATAGAAGTACAGTGTTAGCACAATGGAGCGAGCACCAGATGTCATTTCTGTGTTTTGTTTCCCAGATGGTGAGTGCTACACAAAAGAAGCATATTCAGCCCACCAAGAAACAATTTCTCATCTCTCAGTCACCCCCTGACAAAGTAAGATTTAGAGCCTCCCAACTAAAGAGATATTTTCCTCCCTCAGAATAAAAAGGACCCGGGCATGTTGAAAAGAAGGCAATAACCCCTACTACTACAGGAGTGGTTCTCAAAAGGTATGCTATAGGATGCCATGAGCTCTCATTAACTGAGCCAGAAACTGTATGGAATTTACATTTACAAATGAACACTCAAGTCTCTTAGAAATTATATGAAACTTCCACATGCAAACAATCATATGTGCATGTGCAATTCTACTGACTCCTATACCATAAGATGCCATAATTCCTCAGAAATAAAAGAATGTGCTATGAGGAAAAAAAAAAAGTAGGACAGCCTACTATACTATACTTGTCGTTTTCCTCTACTTCTCAAACAACTTTTTTGTCTTATTTGACACCCAGTTTTCTGGGACAAGCCTAACTCAGGCCAGTCCAAGTTCAGAGTTAGAATGCAGGGAAACTCTAATAGACTATAAAATGCAATACAAACACTTTACTAATGGCAAAAAGTTCCCACTGAGCAATGGGAATCCAGCTAAAACCTCTAACATCAACTCTCCACAGCATGGGCCTCTTATGCTTCAGGCAACAAAGAAGCCAAACCAATGATGATCCTCAAAACAGCCTCCCTAACCCCTTCAACTACCCACACTACATAAAACAGATGCTGTTACTACCATATCTACCTTTTTACTACTAGGCTACGTCAAAGACTATAAATAATTTAATCACTTTGCAAGCACAGTTCTAATTCACAAAACAGTACTAGTAGGTCTGTCTTCCTACAGCTTCTCCAACACTGCCTGTTTTTTTCTTTTATTATCTTCAACAATTTTCTTGGAGTGTGATTAAACATTAATTTAGAAGGCAGCTAGGTGTCGTAGTTGGTAGAGCACTGGCCCTGGATTCAGGAAGACCTGAGTTCAAATCCAGCCTCAGACACATAACACTCACTAATGGTGTGACCCTGGGCAAGTCACTTAACCCCACTGCCTAACCAAAAAAAAAAGAATAAAATAAAATAAACATTAATTTAATTTACATTTCTATGTGGAACATTTTTTTTTCAGATAGCTATCAATAGTTTCCATTTTTTCTTTGGAAAATCATCTATTATTCCCCAACTGATAAATGGTCAAAACATATGAACAGGCAGTTTCAGATGAAGAAACTAAAGCTATCTATAGTCATATAAAAAAAATGCTCTAAATCACTATTGATTAGAGAAATACAAATTAAAACAACTCTGAGGTACCACTTCATACCTATCTGATTGGCTAACATGACAAAACAGGAAAATGATAAATGTTGGGAGAAGATATGGAAAAACGGAAACACTAATGTATTGTTGGTAGAGTTGTAAACTGATCCAACCATTCTGGAGAGCAATTTGGAACTATGCCCAAAGGGCTATAAAACTGTACATGGGGGGGGGGACCAAGATGGCAGAGTAAAAGCAGAGACCTGCTTGAGCTCTCCCCTAAGCCTCTCCAAATACTTGTAGAAAATGACTCTAAACAAATTCTATAGCAGCAGAACCCACAAAAAGACAGAGTAAAACAAATTTCCAGCCCAATACAACCTGGATAGTCGAAAGGAAAAGTCTGTTGCGCCGGGCTAGGAGAGAAACTCAGTCCAGTGTGGGCCACAGAGGTAAAGACCTGTCCTCAGTGAACCTGGAGCAGGCCTCAGGGAACTGAATCAAGGGGAGCTGTGGTGGTTTCCAGACTTCTCAACCCACAAACACCAAAGACTTAGAAGGTGAGTGGGGAAGGTCTGTCGGACCTGGGTAAGAGAGGAATGTGGTCCATTCCTGGTGCTAACGCAGCCCCAGGCGGTGGCCACAGTTGTGGTTGCTTCTGGAGCTTTTGGCCCATAGGTGGTGGGGGGATCGAATGGCTGATTAGAGGGAGATTAGAGGGATCTCTTTGCTGGCTCTGAGGCAGGATTCTCTTGCTTTGCCCATGCCTGAATCTAAGTCCTGTCCTGGGTGGCAGTCCTGGGGCAAGGAGGAGCACTAGCATAGCAGAGTTTGTGGCAGCAGTGCAGAGCGAACCCTCGTCTCATTTCCAGGGCAGAAAAGAGTGCGTGTGGTCACTCACAGACCAGAGCACAGGCCAGGAGAGGAGTAAACACCTCTCCTTAGATCATACCACCTTGGAAGAACTGAAAACTTACAATTCCCAAGAAGTATCTCTGAAAACAGCTGTAGAAAACCTGTGAAGTTTGGGACAGTACACCCTTCACACTGGAAGCAGAGCCCACCTTAAAAAAGAGTTAAAAAGTCAAGGAACTGGCCAGGAAGATAAACAAACAGAGAAAAAAACTCAGACTATAGAATCTTATTTTGGTGACAAGGAAGATCAAAACATACAACCAGAAGAAGATAACATCAAAAGCCTCCAAGAAAAATATGAATTGGTCTCAGGCCATGGAAGAGCTCAAAAAGAATTTTGAAAATCAAGTAAGAGAAGACGAGGAAAAATTGGGAACAGAAATGAGAGTGATGCAAGAAAATCATGAAAAAACAAACCAACAGCTTGCTAAAGGAGACTCCAAAAAAATGCTGAAGAAAATAATAACCTTAAAAAAACAGACTAGACAAAATGGCAAAAAAGGTCCAAAAATTCAATGAGGAGAATACATTAAAAAACAGAACTGGGCAAATGGAAAAGGAGGTCCAAAAGCTCACTGAGGAAAATAATTCTTTTTTTTTTGGTTAAGATTCATTCATTTATTTATTTTTAATTTTCAACATTTACTTCCACAAGATTTTTAGTTCCAAATTTTTTACCCATCTCATCCCTCCCTCAACCCCAAGACAGCATGCATTCTGAATACCCTTTCCCCTAATCTGCCCTCCCTTCTATTTCCCCCCCCACCCTTCTCTTATCCCCTTCCCCTTCTATTTTCCTGTTGGGCAGGACAGATTTCTATACTCCATTGCTTGTATATCTTATTTCCCAGTTGCATGTAAAAATAATTTTTTAACATTTGTTTTTAAATCTTTGGGTTCCAAATTTTCTCCCTCCCTCCCTCCCCACCCACCCTCACTGAGAAGGCAAGCAACTCAATACAGGTTAAACTTGTGCAGACATGCAAAACACTGCCATAGTAGTCATGCTGTAGAAAATTAACTATATTAGGAAAATAATTCTTTAAAAATTAAAATGGAGCAAATGGAAATTAATTACTCTATGAAAAATCAAGAAACAACAAAACAAAACCAAAGGAATGAAATAATAGAAGACAATGTGAAATATCTTATTGGAAAAACAACTGACTTAGAAAATAGATCCAGGAGAGATCATTTAAAAATTATTGGACTACCTGAAAGCCATGATCAAAAAAAGAGCCTAGGCATCATCTTTCAA